AACCTTTTTTGGATCATAATTTGCAAAATTCACCAAAAACATCTACCTAGGCGTAAGTGTGTTGATAGAAAAACAGATGTAGTAGTATAAAACAAAAATATCATATGCGTTTTTTAGTTATCAAATATGGTTTTTTTTGGCTAAAGTAAAGGAATTATCAAACTATATGTTATAGAAACAATTTACATAAACTCCTTCAACAAAGCAATCAGGGAGTTTCTGTTTTTGAAATCTGAAGAGTCTGCCTTAATTACTCTAGAGAAGGAAAAAAAAAAAAACATTCTAACCTTCTAAAACACTCCACACCACTCTCACACAACAGAACAAATCAATAGAGAAACTAACTGTAAATCTGTATAAAGTAATAAATATTATTTTTTGCTAATCATTGTACATCTAAATCTTTCCCTGCAGGTTATGAACATATATCATGATCTGTATGAACTCCATTTCTTGCTGGTTTTCCAATCTGTAAGCAATCAATCGGTGGAACGGTTGGCGAATTGAGCTCTCCAAATGTTTTCCAGCAAAATGCATCATACATGTGGTACTGTTGTTGTACTGGCTTTAGCTCTATGCCTGATAATTGCACATCTATGCAAGGGAAATTGTCGCTGCAGGCAAAATGCACAGGCTTTACGGTATAAGTGCCTCGTATCTTCTCATATGTTACTCCTTCCACGGACACTGCTGAAGTCTGGTTCTGGCATTTGCTGTGATCACAGTAGAATTGATCGATCACTAACGGAAGCTGGACCTCTGTGAGTTGTATGTTTGAAAAAAGTATCCCTTTCACTGATCCTACACCTCCCTGCATTAGCATTTCCCAAAATCAAATTAGACATTTTGGGGTAATTTTGGAGATTGAGTCATTCAGGGTATATATTTTACCTGCCAGGTCTTGATTCGGACACCGGTCATTGTGTTGTGCATAACAACATCTCGGACTGTTATGTTGGAGACACAAGCTTTGGTACTGTCTTTACCAAGGCTCCCTATGCTAATTCCATGTCCTGGTCCACAATTCACATTGTGAACATACACATTGGAGCAACCTGTTTGAATTGAAATGCAATCGTCTCCTGTAAAACAGAGGAATCAATCAACACGATATTAAGACCCGGTTTTTACGAGTTTTATGATGTTTCTTTAGACTCATTAAATGGTTTTGTACCGCAAGCTAATGTGGTGGTATGAATCATGACATCTCTTGTGTTCTGAAGATGAATCCCATCTGTGTTTGGACTGTCCCCGGGAGAGGACACAGTCACGTCATGAACTAATACTTGGACGCAGTTATCAAACTTGAGGTGACATTGAGGACTGTTCTGAATGGTTATACCCGTCACAGTCACGTCGATACTCCCATAGAACCGTAGCGCCTGCACCGTGAAAACATATTTGGTAAACAAAATATTTCACCGAGTAGTAGAAGAAGATACAAAACACTTCAGTTTGTTTCTCACCGTTGGTTTAATGTTTGGCATTCTCTCACCAAGCTCACTTCTTATCTGCCATGTCAATTAAAAACAAGAAAACAGAGTTTAGTCTTAGATGAATCTTGTGTGGATTGT